TTATCTTCTTTCAATGCATCCCTCTTTCTCATCTTTTTTTTGGATACCATTCCATCATAGTCGACTCGCACCCTCTATGTACATTCCTTCTAACTATCTTAATGATAAAATCTTAGGAGTTACAAGTATCATCTTCCTATGTAGGAGTGTGAACAGTTTAGGCTTATTGAATCCTTTATGATTTCTCTTTCCTATTTATCTTTTATGCTTCCCTTGAGTCTTATATTTGAAAGTCAAATTTTCTATTCAGTTCTGTTCTTTTCATCAGGAATATTTAAAAGTCTTCAATTTCATTAAATGTCCCCAAATATACTAAACATTGAGCCATAGAACTCACTTGGCTTTTAAAAATTGTTTTGTTTCTTGATGTCTCATGGAGTCGTTAGCTTCCAATTGCCTAATTCTAATTTTTAAGGAATTATTTTCTTCAGTGAGTTTTTATACCTCCTTTTCCATTTGGCTGATTTTACTTTTTAAGGAGTTCTTTTCTTCAGTGAATTTATTTTTACCTTTTTCCATTTGACCAATTCTGCATTTTAAGAAGACAGAACTTGCCTGCAGACCTTCCAAATTGTCTTGGGCTGGAAAATTGTTTCACCTCACCCTTTTGTTGGTTCTGCCACTCCAGAATTCATTTTGAAGTATTATTTTAATGTTGTTTGGAAGAGAATTTGGGAGAGCTCAGAGGAATCCCTGTTTTCCATCTTCGTTCTCTTCTGTAATTTATCATCTTAGTTACCTGAGGCAAGGTTAAATGATTTGCCATGGTTATATAGCTAGTGTGTAGGAGAGGTAAGACAACCTCAGGTCTAACTGACCCCATGGATGCTTTCTATTCAATCAATCAAACAATAAATATTTGGCTATCCAATGAAAACTGTAGTGATTATTATGGCTCATATTTCAGGTTTTGATAGCTTAGAATGAGTATAAATAGCATTTGTTTTCTCTTCTGGCAAGAAACTTTGAGGGTTTCCTCCTCCAAGATTTTTTGTGGTGATAAATTAGGCCATTTTTTTTTGTTTCCATGGGTTGTACCCAAACCTTAGTTATCGAATGGGCATTGCCTCAGAAAACCTGATGCCAGGGAAATGACCTTAATTTAGAAAAGCCAAGGTCATTCACTGCATCCTGGGTCATCACAAGTCATCTTGACCTTTGTCTTGCCACTAGACTTCAATAACTCTTGAGGAGTGAGGCTGATGACTTTGTGCATTTCTGCCTCACTTAAATCCAATTAATCTGCAAGTAATCATTCTCATGATGTCATTGGTCTTCTTTGAAAATGAAGGATGAACAACAACAAACATTTATTAAGCAACTACTTTGTGCCAGGCACTGTGCTAAGAGCTGTGGATACAAAAATATCAATTAACTTTTACAAAAGGGTACTTACTGAGAAGGCACAACAGGCAACAAAGGACAAATTCTTCTTCTCCCTTCAAAAATCTAGAAAAAACTCACCCACAAGTACATAGAGTCCAAGAGAAAATTTTCTCAAACTCAAGAAAGCTCATTTGTGGCAAAGGGGTAACTTGCAACAACTGATTGGATGGAAGTCCTTTTCTCCCTTCCTGGAGTCTTCCTAGAGTCCCTATGAGGAACACTCTTCACTGGGTTCCAAGGGTCTTTCCTTGGTGTGTTCTTTGTCCTAAGCTGCTGGTGAAGATAACTACCATCAACCAGTGCTATTTCAGAGATTTTCTTACCACTATGATGGGAAGTCCAGATCTTCTGTCCTTTTGAAGGTTTTCTTCTTGTAAAGACAGATGGGGTTGTATGGTGATGGTGAAGGCTTTCCTTAAGGGCTTGGATGGAACTCTTCTGCCACGAGACTGACCTGATATTGGAATCCTGCATTCAAAATTGGCAAGCCCTATAGGAAACGAATGATTCTCTGTAACCAATCCCAGGATGCTCTTGGTGTGGAGTCATTTCATTTTACCAATAGTTCAAAGCATTTCATCTCTTCTGTACTTGACTAAGTAAATTGTTAAGTCTTGGTTTTATACAGAGGTGGCCAACAATTGTTCACATCCACTTTCCACCTTGGGTTTACAGATTCTCAATTGAAGAGGCATTCTTACCTGAAAAGGGCATCAGGGTATATTACATCTTGCTAGAAGACACACATTTCCTATAAAGTGATAATCTTTACTACTATCAACTTTCATCATATTACACTTAACATAATGTTCTAACCCAGACGTTGACAAACTACAGCCTGTGGGCCTGAGAGCAAAAAAAAGTTTAAAACTAGCTCATTGGCTGTACAAAAATAGGCAACTGGCCAGATTTGGTCCTTGGGATGTATTTTGACAATCCCTATTTTAACTCATCAATATCCTTTAGGATTCTTTGTGATTCAATATATTTACTATTTCTCCTAGCTTTTTGTCATTGGCAGATTTAATAAGGATTCATTAGGACTTTTAATATAAATTTCCTTTTTTATTATGAGTTTTGAAACCTCAATAAATGCAAATATTTTAATAAACAGAAAAGAAAAAGATTTATACAAAACTGAACTTCTGTTGTAGAGTGTTCTTATATCTACATTGAATTTAACATAATAACTGCCCTGCTTATCCTTTTCTGCAATTTTGACCAAGACAGGAAACTGTACTGAGACCTGGGACAAGTCTCCATCCTCTGCCTCAATTTATGACTTCTGCCTCTGTCTCCTGATGACTCAATGACATCTTTTTTCTCATTTCCCAATGGAAGCCCACACCACTCAACTGCCCAATTAATGTGACTGACAAGATGCTCTGTGTCCTACTTTTATCAAGTGGGAATGGTTCCTTTACTATTAAAGAATTGATCAATAAAACACTGAAACTAGATATGAACAAGTTTTAGATACCTCCAATTGCTTTAGGGACAAATATGGAATTGTTTCATTCCCTACTTAGCACCTGGCAGGCTAGGGCTGAGATCATATTGACTCAGTTCTGTCTGGTAGCTTGCTCCTGGTTTTCTGCTTGTTCAGTCCTGGACAAGATCAGGGAACTCATTGTTGATTCCCTTTGGTTTTACTGATGCATTCCTTCATCTGAAGCCCTTTTCATCTTTGCTGGGGAGCTGAGCTCAGCTACTACCTTTCTTACTGCCATCTGTGATAGTCTCATTATCTAGCAGGGTTCTTCATCCCCACCCCATGGGTTAAACTAGCTTTTTTTTTCCCTAAAAGGCAACAACTTTGTCCCCAGGGCTTGACTGTCCTTCCCTTAAGAAAAGTTTCTGGTGGCTTCTTATAGTATTGATTTGACTTACTGGTTACCTAAGGGCATAAAAAGACCCACCTATATGGAATTGGGATCCTACAGACATTGCAGATGGCCAAAGGCCACATATCACCACACTTTGTCCTAAAGACCACACAAGTGTCTATAAGAAAATGAGGGAAACCACTTAGACCCAAACTAAGTGCTGCAATATCTTTGATGAATATAATTTCTTTACTAAGTAAATATCCTTTGGCTTACTGTTGAATGACTTATGAGTTTCATTCCAACACTGGACCTAAATTGCAAAGGGCGTGAGTCAGACCTGCCAGAACACCATCTTTGCCAGAAGTTCCATCTATATCTTTATCTAAGTCATTGGTTAAAAAAATGTTAAAAAGCTCAAAGTCTAGCATAGATGTATGGGACACTCAACTAGAAGCCACCTGCTATCCCTATTGAAACATTAGCAATTACTCTGAGTCTAGTCATTCAACCATTTCTAAATCCATCTAATTGTAATGTTATCTACCCTACATATCTCCATCTTTTCCAAAGGAATAGCATGGAATATCTTATTGTATGCTTTGCTAAGAACCTAGGCAAATTATATCAACAACAATTCCATAACCCTGTCAATAAACAAAATGGTTTGCTTGGCATGACCGATTTTTGGTGAAGTCATAGTGGTTATTTTTGACCACTGTTTTCTTTTCTAAATATTGACTATCTTTTTAATAGTCTTTCTAGAAATTTCCCAAGAATCAAAATTAAATTTACTGGCCCATAGTTTGACCATTCCATTATCCTTTTGTGGAAAATTGGGATATTTTTCTAGTCCTGAGTTACTTCTGTTGTACATAGTCTTTCAAATGTCATTTATAGTGGTTTAGAAGTACATCCACTAATTATATTAATAATCTGAAGATGCAGTTAATCTAGGCTGGGTGATTTGAATTCTTCAATGGCACCTAAGTTTTCTTTTGCTATCTTAAGTATCTTGGTTATCAATTCATTATTAGCCATTTTTGTTTTGTTCTTTCTGGTCCATATGTTTTATCATGGCAGATAAAACAGTCCTAGGTACCTTTTGAATTGGTGACCTGTGGAGATGGATGTGGGCATGGTCAGCATTATCAGAATGCACAAAAGCCATTATTCATAAATGATCACAAACTTGCAGCAGTCCCCACCAGAGGATTGTGCTGAAACTAAATTCCTTGTTTATTTTGAGTAACCTATTAAGGGTGGGAAAGTGCTGAAGGTCATTGAATCATAATATCTTAGAGATAGAAGGGACTTCAAAAAACACCTGGTCTAAACCCTAATTGAGCAGGACCTTCTCTTCTCTTCTCCACCAGAATCCAAAGAATAAAATCCAAAATACTGTTTGGCACCCATGGATTTTCACAGTAGACTCCATCCCACATATATATTTGTTGTTTTTCCCCCTATAGATGCCCTCTGTTAGCTGCAGTCAGACCTATCTCTGCTGTCCTGCAAACATGGGGTTTATTCCTAATTTTTATAATAACTTTTGTTGTTGTTCTTTCATTTCAGTCATGGGGAAGACTTCTGAAATGAGATATTTTAACTATGCATCTACTTTACTTGGTAACTAGCAAAATGTTCAAATAACTATATTGTAAGAATGACTACTTCCGAGAAATTGTTAAACTTTAAATATTAGCAAAGAAAATAATTTAGAGAAGGTATTCTACATATTAATTTTATTATACTACATCTATGAAAGGACACACCAGAAATTTGATAAATGCATTATATTGGTAATGAACACTTTCAAAATATAATCAAAAGAAAATAAATGGAATAAGTAGGAATAGATTCAATATAAAAGCAGCTAAGTATATTAAAATATCCATAAGGAAGGAATACAATTTTAGTAGAAAGGAATTTGTTAAAAGCAGTTTAGGTTCATTATTATCAAATTTGTTATCACAGGTTTATTCAGTTGGATTCTGAATGACAATCAGAAGATATTCCTTATCTGTAAAAAGAAAAAAAAGATAAATTTTAGTTAATCTTGAAAACAGTATTAATTGCCAATGACTATGCTGATTTGATTTCTACCTGGCTCACTGCAACTTGAGGATCCTACCTATTTTTAAAGAATTATGGAACAATTGAATAAAATATGAAAAGCTCAGCTAATCCTCTGATAGTTTACAAAATGTATTTAGAAACATCAGTATTATGGTAATTTAAATCAATACACATTTAATTTTCATCTGAATTTTGTTCATTGTATAGCAATAACCTTGGTTTACATATATCCTTGGTTTTACAAATACATATACTTCTGAAATATAATATATATTCAAACAAAATGACACCTATTATGAAACTTAAAATGTTTCCCCATGATCAAAAATTCTCCAACTGACTGAACTGCAAACTTTTAATTAAGAAGGGCTTCAGGAGACCTGGGCTCTAGTTCCAGCTCTGCAAATTACCATTTTACCAGCCAAAAGTTGCATTTCCTGTAAATGAGGGGATTGTAATAGAAGATCTCTAAGGTGCTTTCCAGGAATAGAATGGTTGCCAACTATGGACCTTGATGGGCACTTTATATTCATAGGGTTTTGCTCTGATGGGAATGCTTTGTGAACTGTTTTCCTTTGTGATCTCTTCTGTTCCCCTTTGTCCTGATTTAATAAATTTCACTATGCCTTTGAAGTTTTATGTATTATGTTCACTTAAAATGAGGGAGATCGATACACTTGAAATTTGTTAACACCATTTCTTACAATGTAATGCAACTGAGGAAAAGTAATTCTACTGATCAAAGCTAAGGTTTATTGAAGACTTCCTAAACTCTTTGAGCTGAAATGAAATGTTAGAACATAAAGAGTTAGTCCAAAGCCTGTCTATCAAAGATACAGAAACAAAGACCATACGGGGTTAAGTAATTCCAGACGCGGCAGCATGATATAGTGGAAAGAATGAGGAAATGGGAGTCAGGAGAGACCTTGGTATTAGAGGGTCTTAGACATCTAATCAAAAAGAATTTAAACTGAAAAAGGAAGAGGGAAGGAGAAGACTGCCTAAGTATATCCAACAAACTAGATACCATAGATACCATGTAGGTGCTATATAGAAAGAAAAATGGCAATAAAGTCCCAGAAATTGGTAGTAGACAAAATGGCCTTGAATGTCTCTCTATAGAAATACATGAGATGAATATAAAAAATACAAAAACAAGTAAGGTGACCTAGAGATTCCAATACAAAAAGGCAGATTTGACCTCAATTATATGAATGATTTATTGGGAAGAGACTCACAAATGGAACATAGTTCTGGAACAAACACCTTATTCAAACGAACAGACAGGTAAAAAGGAGAGTGGACGGAATAGCACAGAATACATAGAAGAGCTACTTCTGTGAAGAAATCCAAGACCTAAAGGAGGAAAAGATGTTGGTGATAAAGAGAATTGGTATTGTCTTCAGAGCATGATGTGGACCACACCTGGACAGAATGAAATGAAAGATGAGGAGTTCAGAAAACAAATCACAATTATTCAGACTTCTGCAAGAGCTCTTTGACAGAACCAGAGCAGCTTCTTGACTTGCATTAATGTATATTTTATCCAAGGAAACAAATAAGGGGAATTGCTATTTAAGATGTGATTTTCACCAAAAAAAAGAGGAAGTAGTTGCTGGAGCACAAATGGTGAAAATTTGGGGATAAGTAACCAGTGCATTTTAGAATTTATGATAGAGGAATATGGATGGAGTCTGGTAGACACTAGATTTGGGGAGAGCAGATTCCAAGGGGTTTATGGAATGGTAAGATAGGATATCATGAACTAAAATTCTACAAGGAATTCAGTTCAGAAGGGAAAGGCCTCAAGAATAAAATTCTGAAGCCACAAGAAAAAGAATTCTAATGAGGAGGAAAAGATGTCTACATATATCAATATGGATTCAAGGAGCACTCATCAATGAACTTAGATTTTAAAAAGCCATGTACAAAAGATGGAAATAAAGGCAAATGCTAGAAGATGAATACAAAAGCATGGCACAGGCTCAGAATGAGCTGAAGTTGATGAGGAAAGCTAAGGACCATGGACAGTATTTAAAGTTAACTGGTTAAAAACAAAAACAAAACATACAAACAGAACAAAAAACCGAGGGTCAAAAAAGAAATAGGATTGCTGCTCAGCGTGAATAGAATAATAGTAACAACTGATGATGTAGATAAAGTAGAGTGGCTTAGTCTGTTTCTGTTTTCTGTGCCAAGTGGAAAGATCTTTGGAATGAAAAGGAAAAGGACAAAAATGGCTAGGAGGAGGTTGATACAAGTTCAAAATATAAAAGAAGATAGAGTAAGAGGGCACATATCTGCCCTTGATGATTTCAAGTATTGATCATCCTAGAATACTGGAAGAACTGGTAGAGAAGCTATTATCAGTAATCTCTGAACAACTGGAGTGATTGTAAGAGATATCATGATGAGAGAAACTGATGAGAGAAACTGTCCTGATTTTCAAAATAGAAAATTTTGGATTCTGTAAACTGTAGACCAATGAAATTAATTTCTATTCCTGAAAAATTCTAAATTATCTCACCTGGATCTATTTTCCAGGTCAGTTGTTTTTTCCAATGAGATATTTCACATTCTCTTCTATTTTTTATTTGGTTTTGTTTTATAATTTCTTGATTTCTCATAGAGTCATTGGCTTCCATTTGCTCCATTCTAATTTTTAAGGAATTATTTTCTTCATTGAGCTTTTGGACCTCTATTTCCATTTGGCCAATTCTGCTTTTTAAGGCATTTTTCTCCTCATTCGGTTTTTGGACCTCTTGCCATTTGGGTTAGTCTATTTTTAAGGTGTTATTTTCTGCAGTATTTTTGGGGTCTCCTTCAGCAAGCTGTTAACTTGTTTTTTCATGATTTTCTTGCATCACTCTCATTTCTCTTCCCAGTTTTTCCTCTACTTCTCTTATTTGCTTTTCAAAATCCTTTTTGAGCTCTTCCATGGCCTGCGACCAATTCATATTTTTCTTGGAGGCTTTGGATGTAGGAGCTTTGGCTTTGTTGTCTTCTTCTGGCTGTATGTTTTGATCTTCTTTGTCACCAAACTAAGATTCTGTAGTCTGAGTTTTTTTTCCCACTGTTAGCTCATGTTCCCAGCCAAATACTTCAGTTATAAACTCTTTGTTAGGGTAGGGCTCTGCTTCCAGTGTGGAGAGTATACAGTTCCAAGCTTCAGGGGTTTTGTGCAGCTGTTTTCAGAGATACTTCTAGGGACTTGTAAATTTTCAGTTCTTCCAAGGTGGTATGATCAAAGGAGAAGTGTTTACTCCTTTCCTGGGCTGTGCTCTGGTCTATGCATAACCACAAGCACTCTTTGCTGCCTTGGAACTGTGAGGAGGATCCGCTTTCCACTACTGTCACAAGCTCTGCCACACCAGCACTGCTCCTTGCCCCAGAACTGCCACCCAGGACTGTGATCCAGATCCAAGCATAGGCAAAGCAAGAGAATCCTGCCTCAGTGCTGAAGAGATCCCTGCAATCCCCCTCTACTTAGCCACTTGATCCCCCTACAGCCTGTGGCCCAAGAGCTCTGGAAGCAGCCGTCTCCCCAGGGCTGCACCAGGACTGAGGCAAGACCTTGCTCCTTTCTCACCGAGGTCCAGCAGACCTTCTAAATTGTCTTTGGCATTTGTAGATTGAGAAGTCTGGAAACTGCTATAACTGCTAGTGATTCAATCCCCTGAGGTCTGCTCCAGGTTTGCTAAGACCCTGTCTTTGACTGTGTGGCCCACACTAAACTTTGTTCCTTTCCCAGCCTGGCACAATAGACCTTTCCCATCAACCATCCAGGTTTTCTTGGGCTGGAAATTTGTTGCACTCTGTCTTTTTGTGGATTCTGCTGCTCTAGAATTTGTTTATAGTGATTTTTACAAGTATTTGGAGGGGTTTGGGGGAGATCCTAGGCAAGTCACTGCTTTTTCTCTGCCATCTTGGCTCCGCCCCTATTCCTGAAAAATTCTAGAAAAAATATTTTGTCATTTAGTCATTTAACTCAAGTATGACTCTTCGTGACTCCATTGGAGTTTTCTTGGCAAAAATACAAGAGTGGTTTGCCATTTCCTTCTCTAGTTAATTTTATAAATTAGGAAGCTGAGGCAAACAGGGTTAAGTGAATTGTCCAGAGTCACAGAGCTGGATATGAACTCAGGTCTTCCTAACTCGGTTCAGAACTCTATTTATTATGCCACCTTGCTTCCCAGAAAAATTATTAAACAGGGCTTATGACTACATACAATAGACAATATCTGAAATATTGTGTCCAGTTCTGGGTATCACATTTTAGGAAAGATACTGGTAAACTAGAGAGCTGCCAGTGGAGGGTAATGAGATATTCAAAGGTCGTGAGCTCTTGTCATATGAGTATTTATTGAAAGAACTGGGAATGTTTAATGTGAAGATCATAATTCTTGTACTAAGTTGAAATAACTCTTTCCAAGTATTTAAAGGGCCGCCATTTGGAAGAGGGATTAGATGTTTTCTTGGGCCCCAGAAAGCAGAACTAGAAACAATGTATGGAAGCTGTGAAAAGACTAATTTAAGCTTGATGTCATTAAAAAAACATCCTGACAGTGAGAACTATTTAAAAGTGGAATGGATTGACTCAGGTGGTGGCTTGTTCCTCTCCACTAGTGATCTTCAAACAAAGGCTGGATAATTACTTATTTGATGGGGTATAGAAGGAATTCTTGATCAACTATGGTTTGGACAATATATCCTCTGAAGTCCCTTCAAAATACGAGATTATGTCATTCTGTGAATGTACCCAATAAGGGACAATAAAGTGTATATATTTGCCTGGAGTTTTTTGAATCTCATTAAGAGGTTTTTAATTTAAAATTGGTTGGTAAGGGAAAAATCTGTTCACATATATCCATCAACTCTGATACTACATAGAATAGAATGTACAATACAAAAAATAATAAGCAGATGACAGGTTGACTAATTCAT